CCCCAAAACCCCAAAACCCCAAAACCCCATCATTCAAATTTAAAACTGAATAATATCACAAAACTATTAATTATATTAAAATAAATTTTAAAAGATTTAGACTAGTAATTATGAACAAGCTCGTTAAAAAGTATATCTACTGAATCGTTAATGCGAATTTGCTTTAGTTTTGAGTCTGAGATGAAAGCCAAGATCATGCAGAAGTGTCCTCCTACTCAGGGAGAGGAAGGGTTCCTGGCTAAGTGTTTCAAATTCTTTGATATTCACAACAAGGGAGAGGTCAATATTGATTAGTTCTACAGAACAGTGGAGAAGATCGGAGTCATCATTGAGAAATCAGTATGTTTTTTATTATCAATAATGTGTGGCTTAACCCAATCTATAGGATTTCGAGAAAGTATTCCAGTACTATGATTAAAATGGCAATGGCCAAATTGATTACAAGGAGTTCTCCGCTATGTTCTGCGGTGATGGCGCCTAGAAATCATAAGCTGTTTAATCTCAGAGAAGCTATACATCTCATGCTAGTAGACAAGGACCAACCAGAGGGCCAAAGATTGATGCAATGGAACTAGTGAAGTTGTTTAGAGATAAGATAAAGTCAAGAGGTGCCAGAGGTATCATTGGATTATAAAAGCTTTTCCATATTATGGATGACGATGGAAGCAAGAGTATTTCAATGCCAGAGTTTCAAAAAGCTTGCAGAGATTTTAAAGTAGGCATCAACGACGATAATGTTCCACTTCTCTTCGAACAATTCGATACCAATAGAGACGGTACTCTTAATATTGATGAGTTCCTTATGGCTATCAGAGGTGAGCTCAACGACTAAAGAAAAGCACTAGTCGAGAAGGCCTTTAGAAAAATTGACAGAGACAGTAGTGGCTTTATTGATATTGAAGATATCAAGGACATTTATAATGCTTCAAAGCATCCAGATGTCCAGCAAGGTAAAAAAACCGAAGCTTAAATTCTCATGGAATTCCTTGAGACTTTTGAGATGCATCACAACATCAAGCATCAATAAGATAGAGACTCAAGGATCACTATTGATGAATTCCTAGAGTACTATACTAACATCTCTGTCAGCATCGATAATGATGACTATTTCGCTTTAATGATGAATAATTCATGGAACTTGAAGGGAGACGCACAAACTTATTAAAAGTACGACAAAGGCTGGGCAAACGAAGATACTCAGCCAGCTAAGAAAGAATTCAGACAACCACCTGTACCAGTATAAAGAAGTGGTCAGTCCAGTAGAGATAATCCATTAGTGAACACTCATGATTTCTATAAGCCAATCACAAATGCATCAAGAAGTAATGTCTCTAAAATGATGTACTCAGCTCCACCTATGGATTAAGATAAAGCTGTTGAGCAAAATAAATAATTCCAATAAGTAGCGAAGTAGAATATGCCACCAAGAAACCCATATCAGGGTGGATATAACCCACAACCAACTCAAGGACCTAAGGCAGATATGCAATCTCAAGTTGTTATTTAAAATACTCAACCCACTCCAAAATTCCAGAGTATGATAGTTGAGAGATTCAGAAATAAGCTAAAGCAAAGAGGTGGCAGAGGTATGATTGGTCTTAGAAGATAATTCAAAATCATGGATGATAATGGTTCAGGCACTTTAGATTTTGGAGAATTCAGAAAGGGTATCAAGGATTTCCAAGTCGATGTTGGTGATTAAGATATAGAGAGCTTGTTCAAGGCTTTCGATCTCAACGGCAACGGAGATATTGATTTTGATGAATTTATCAGAGTAGTTGTTGGTCCAATGAACCAATTCAGAACTCAACTTGCAATTAAAGCTTTCAAGAAGATTGATTATAATGGTGATGGAGTCCTTACTGTTGCTGATATCAAGGGTAAGTATGATGCCAGCAAACATCCAGATGTCAAGAGTGGCAAAAAGACGGAAGATGAAGTGCTCAAGGAATTCCTAGAGACTTTTGAAATGCATCATAATGTGATGAATGGTTCCAAGAGTGATGGAACTGTCACACTTGATGAGTTTATCGAATACTATACAAATATCTCAGCAAATATCGATAACGATGCCTACTTTGACTTAATGATGACTAATGCCTGGAATATCGATGGGAAGAATAATACTGATAACATGGCTTATGCTGGAAGTTCCAGAAAGGTTACTTAAGTTTCTGCTAGAGACGCATGGAGACAAGACCATCACAGAAATCTCTTTGGCACTGATAAAGAAACTCCATTCTCCAAAAAGAAGGATCAACAATGGCAATCTTCAGCCAAGGGCACTTATAATGATTAGGCTCTCTAGCAAAACCCTAACATGCCTATTGCTGGTTCTTCAACCTTCAGCAATGCTAATGACTATAAAATGCAGTTCATGACAACATCATAGAGACACACTGGAGTAACATACTAAGGCATTCAACACACTGATGATGATCTTGTAACACTTTTTAGAGAGAAACTTGCATCTAGAGGTGCAAGAGGTATCCTAGGCATGCAAAGAATCTTCAAGATTATGGACGATAACAGAAACGGAAGTCTTGAGATCTAAGAATTCTGGAAGGCTATTTGCGATTTCAGAATTCAAATCTCTCCAGAGGAGGCTAGACAACTTTTCGATTTGTTCGATATTAATGGTGATGGAAACGTCAGTTATGATGAACTGATGAGAAGTGTGGTGGGTGAAATGAACTCCTTCAGAAAGCAACTAGTCAGAAAGGCCTTCACAAAGCTAGACAAGAACGGCAATGGCTTAATTGAACTTGATGACATCAAGGGAGTATACAATGCTAAGTTCCACCCAGAGGTAAAGGCTGGTAAAAAGACAGAGGACGAGGTACTCTACGAGTTCTTGGACACCTTTGAACTTCACCACTCATTGAAAAACCCAGGTGACAAGGATAGATAAATCAACATAAAGGAATTCAATGAGTACTACAATAACGTGAGTGCATCAATAGATAATGATTAGTACTTTGAACTCATGATGACCAATGCCTGGAACCTCAACAATGTGAGCTACTAGAAAGGTTGGGGAGGCGAAGTCTGATGGAAGTTTTTCGTTCAACGCATTCACACATAAGCGCATTATGATGATTTAAATGTTGTTATTTCATATTTAAGTGCATTAAATCCTTATCAATTCACTACTCCGGGGTTTTGGGGTTTTGGGGTTTTGGGGTTTTGGGGTTTTGGGG